TTTAAATCTTGTCTTTCTTCTATCCGCCCAGGGAGCGCTTGCATCCGTAACACAGCTTCCCCGTGTCAGGATTCGCAGAGCCCTCCGCGGGGTCTTCGTCACCCAACTCGCCAGCCCAGGTCGAGTCGCCCTCCTCGTCCAGGGTGATGCCGCACAGGCGACAGTAGCGAGAGCTGACCAGCCGGTCCAGCTTGCCCGCGGTGCGCACGACATTGGTCACGATGCCCGCGTAAGGGCCCTCGACGCCCTCAAAGTAGCGCGCCATGACCTCTTCGATGCTCTGGTCCTTGTGGGAGACGACGCTGGACGGCGCGTTGTCGGAAGGGATCAGGTCCTGGACCGACGGCGTGGTGCTGAGATACGTCATGACCTCGGTCTTGAGAATCTCCCGCAGGGGATAATATATGGGGAACTGGACCTTGGTATTGTCGTCTTGGCCTTGGCCTGCCTCAGCGGCGCTGGCTGGGTATGTGCAGACGGTAAAGGGCCCGTCGTTGATCTGCCAGGGCACCGCAAAGCCCCTTCCGTTGGCAACCTCGGACAGCGTCAGGCTGGCCAGCGCAGTGGTGCTGTGGCCGAACAGCAGAGCCGAATAGGACCTCTCCATGGCCACGTTGAGTAAAAGATGGCGGATGAACAGCCGGAGACAGTCTGCGCGCGACGTGACGGACGGCAACGAAGAGAAGAAGCGCTGCAGTCGTTCCGTGTCGTTGCCTCCGGCGGCGGCGGCAACCGGCAGCGTCGTCCAGTCAATCGTCTTGAGGCCAAGGACCTTGCTCAGATGGACGCACTCAAAGGAGACGTGGGGGAATCTCTCGCGGTACCTTGCGAGCAGTCTCTGGGCGGGGGTATCGTGGGCGTCGGCGGGGTGGGAGAGATCTGTGTCGATGTGGATGACAAGGGGCTCGAATGGTGAGGAGCCCTTTCTTGAGGCGTGGTATGTGGCTTGTTTGTCCAGGATCTGGGTGAGGACGGTTGAGCAGGGTCCAAAGGAGAGGCCGGCGACGTATCGCCGCGGCTCGGGCTTTGTGGACGTCCTGGTCTCGCGCTGGAGGACGGTGAGTCTCTTGACGGCCTTGGAGTCGACGTAGTCTATGAAGCAGTTTCTGTAAAGCGTGTAAGTGTGGTGTTTTACTGAAGTTGCTATACACGTGTTATGAGGCGTACTGGCAAGTTGCAACATTTCGCAGCTCATACGGCGCATCTGGGTTTTTGCAGCGCAGACAAGGCCGGCTGGCTGTTTCTGGGCCTGCCATGAGAGAGTCGCGCGAGTCAAGTTGAGAGTGAGGAGTGGGAGTAAGTCAAGTCTGTGCAGGTACCTAGAGGATGACACAGACTGAGTCACGACGTAGCAAGATTCCTCCGTTGGGCTTCAGGCAACGGAGAGCTGTCGAGAGCAGTTGTTGGTGTTGATGAAGATGCGGAGCAACTGCGGTTGTGCTGCCGTGCTGACTCTTTGCTCTGGTTGTCCGACGGATGAATTGAAGGCCGGCAGTGCACTCGGCTGGTTGTGATGGTGGTGAGCAGTGACAGACTGGGCGAGAATTTTTTGGTGGTTGCGCCAAGGTGAGAGTTCACTAACACCGGCCGACTGAGGTAAGCAGAGACGCGAACATATGAACAGAAAGCAGCTGCTTTTGGAGACCGTGAATCTCAATGCTCTTCATTTCAACGCAATTCATCCGCTCTATTCGTCTGTTAGACCTTTCTCTATCTGTCTTCTTAAGCATCAGCATTGGCACCCGGTTCCCCGACCCTTTTAATCCAATGTTTCATCCGCATCCGAAACCAAGATCCGCGTTGCCGGGTAGCTGCACAAGGTACCAGAAACACGGGCTCAGTACTCCGTACATACAGCCCCTGTCCTCGTTAATTGCCTGTAAAGTAGTTGTAACAAGAGACGAATCATGCACCGTGCCACGGCTGTTCGCTCGCTTCAAGCAGCACCCATGTCGTGTTTCTGTTTCTGTGGGCTCGCATTGACCTGAACAGCCCTGGCGTTTCGAGATGCATCTTCGCCGACCACTAATAAGGCACTGCAGCATCTGTTCACCTGTTGCGCGGCTACAATGGACTGGATGAAGACGCTGCTCCGCGGCTTCCATCCCTCGGTCTAGAATCAGCCATTCTCCAGCCACAGGACAGACAGATGGAACTCACACCTTATTCAACCGCCAGAGAAACAGAGAGGCGCGGGCTATTCTATTAATAAACCACTGGATTTACTCCATTACAGTCCTCAAGCCACTGTGACGTCAAAAAGCCGCGTATGTGCTGCATGCCTCTTGGCCACCATCTGTGGCGCTGTTCACTTCGAATCGGACGGGCTGGATCAAATCAAACCAACTCAGATGCAACTGGAACTCTGAGCATGCAGTGGTTGAGCCTAATCGACAGCCGCCCCGAACCTTGCCGGCAGCCTTGATGCATCAATTACACCTCGAGTCGGCGCATTGAAATGCCCGCTGCGGACTCAAACACGCACAACATTGAACCCAACCCAGCTCAACTCAACCACTACAACACACCACTGAACACACGCACAGCATGCCAGTCAAGCCACCACCTCTATATTAACAACGACCCCCGGTCATCTGCGTCTGTCTGGTTCTGTTCTGCTTCTGTTTCTGATCCTGGATCCTGTTTCATCGCCCACCCCTTTTGTCCAACTGCCGCCCGCGTCCAATCATCGCGCCCCCTGATCCCTGCTGCGTTCGGTGCCGGCGCAAGGCGACTCGGTTGACCCTCGACACAGACGCCCGTGCAGCTGAAACCGACCAGAGGCTCCTCCATTGCTGCTGAACCCGGGCTGAACTCTCTTGAACACCTTATCCATCGCTGCTTAGACGCCAGGCTATGGTCGTTCAGTCGGCCGCGCGCGCATCACAGCCGGGGGACGGGACTGCTTCTACTGCTTCTTCCACTACTACTACTTATTGCTCCATCGTCACATTGTCAGCCTGGCCGCGACCCTAGGCTTCCTCTTGCGCACAAGTACGAATACGTGCCCTCGAATCACCCGACCGGGAAGCCTGACTTTGCCATCGTCATCGCCCTCGACTGGCCGCGGCCGCCTGCTGCATACTGCATACCGCATACTGCATACTGCGGCACTTCGCCTCAATTTCCGGCTGCCTCTACGCATTATACTTGTCAGATTTCTGTAGTTGAGGAAAGGCTCTCAACTCCTAGACACTGCCGTTTTCATATACCCGCACGACGGCAAACCAAAACCGCCTACCCCGATCGACACTCTCCCTCCCTCTCGAATCGGCTCCACATCGCCAAACCATCGAGTCGCGCACATTTACACCACCTTCGACCGTCCACGAACCGGCTCCGACAGCCCTCTAGGCTTTGCTCCATCGTCGCTCCCGACGACAATCGCATCCTTGCCCAGCATGGCTGCCCCTCGTCAGGGAGAAACGAGGCTCCAGGAAGCGGCCGTTGTTGCCCGCGGCTCCAGCGACGCCAACGCCCTAAACCGACGCAGTCGCTTACCCCTGGACACGGCGGTTGCTCAGAACGGCTGCTTCGAGGTTGATCGGGTCATCAAGAGCGGATTTGTCCAGAAGCGCGGCCAGAAGACAAAGGTGCGTTTTGACTGCTTGATTGATTTTGGAAACAATTGCTAACGCGCTGTGCGCCGCGAAACAGAACTGGAAGAGCGTGTACCTTGTCCTGCGACCGAACGGCATCTCGATTTACAAGGACGACAAGGAGGCCAAGCTCCGCCACCACCTCTACACGTCCGAACTCTCCGCCGTCGCCTTCCTCAAGGACCCCAAGCACAAGCGCAAGAACCTCTTTGGCCTCTTCTCGCCCTCGCGCAACTTTCACTTCCAGGCCTCGACGGCGCAGGACGCGCAGGAATGGGTCGAGGCCATCCGCAAGGTCGCCCGGCTCGACGAAGAGGAGGAGGAAATGTACCTGGGCAGCCCCGTGGTGCGCAACGTCGTGTCCCCCGGCGCGCCCGACAGCTACCGGCAGCCCGTGTACGGCGCATTCTCGAGCTCGCCCGAGAACATGGCCGCCTTTGAGTCGACGGTGCCCAAGTTCATGCCGGGAAGCCATCGCCTGTCCTACACGCTGGAATCGTCTGGCCTGTCCGGCAACGAGATGCTCTCGTACTCGGACTTTTCCGACAACGACGCTCCGCGCAGACAGGGCGGTACTTCTTACGAGAGCCTGGCCGCCCAGTCGCCCCCCGAACTGCACACCCCGGGCACCTCCATGCCCCGACAGCCACTCAACAACCCGCTGGGCCAGCGACCGGAAACAGGAGTCCGCTCCGCGAGCCAGGTCAGCGCCGTGACCGCCGAGCAGGAGTCCGAGCGCGTCGTCTGGCAGGGCGCCCTCTGGATGCACCGCAGCAAGGGCGGCGTGCGCCAGTGGAAGCACATGTGGGGGGTGCTGCGCGCCCGGCAGCTGGTCCTGTACAAGGACGAGTCCGAGTACGCCGCCCAGAGCATCATCGAGGTGGCCGACGTCGTCAACGTCGTCGAGATGGACCCCGTCAGCCGCAGCAAGACCAACTGCCTGCAGATCATCACCGAGGAGAAGACGTACCGCTTCTGCGCGCCCGATGAGGAGTCGCTCGTGCAGTTTCTGGGCGCCTTCAAGAGCCTGCTGGCCAGGAGGCGTGCGGCGGCGGCGGCGGCGATTGCCGTCAAGTCTCCCCCGCGGTGACGAAAGTGCTGGCCTCGGGATCCGCCATCTCTCCCTGTTCCTCTACTACAACACATTACATGGTTCCCTCCTCCCGATCTCACTCTCTGAACACTTCTTTTCCTTTGTCATATGCTTTCTCGTGGCTACTGCGAGATAGTAGAGCCGTTTCTTTTTTTTGTTTTCTTTCCTTTGTCGCATGATACAATACCCCCTCTTTCGTAATATCGATTTCACGAGTTTATGACTGATACTCTTACTTATACCACAACCCACTCTTCAATCACACCAAATTTCCCCCAACTTGCACCTATTTCTCACTGACACCATCATTATACTCTTAATATATAACTTGACGGCTTTGATAGTTGTTTCTTCAACAAAAGGGGTTGCGAAATCGGGTGGGATAATTTTTTCTTTCTTGAAAAAGACCACACCTATTTTTATTTAGTTACCCTCTTTTTCTCTTCTTTTCACTCTTTTGGTTGCAAGCAAGCAGCAGAATACAACGTTTTTACTTCCTCTGTTTCTGTTCTGGTGCCTCGAACGAAAAATGGCTTTGATAGTTTAGTCGGCAATGGATGACAAAACAAAACCAGCAGTTTTGTCTGGATTGTCAGCTGTGTTTTGTTTTAATAAGTAGTAATTCTTAATACTGCTCTTCCCATCTTCTTCTTCTCCTTCTTCCTTCTTGCGTAATCTTGTTGCCTATCTTTGTTGTCACGAAAAGGGGGTGTCGTTTCAGGGAAAAGCAATGGGAGTGTTTTTTCCCCCTTCTTCTTTCGGTGTTTGTGCTTGTTCCTGTATGATATTGTATAGTAGGCTGGTCCCGACATATGAGTGGGAAGAGCGTCTTTGTAAACTGGATGTTCATAGGTTTTGGTCTTGAATGAGATGATCAAGGACACAGATACGCAATGCTGTTTCACTGAGTGCTAGCCAATAACTACTGGAATTCTTGTGATGAGACAAGATGGAAATAAGGAAAATCAGGGGTATATTCTTTTCTTTCAGCCTTTGCCCGTTCCCAGTACACCGTTGCCCTGATGGTTCCCAATCGTGTCCCACGTAATTACCACTCTCAGATCAAATAGAGTAAAGTTAAAAGAGAAAAGCAGGGCATAAGCCAAGGAAAAAGACTGGAAACATTCCGAAAGGTGAACCCGTATCCCAACAGCAGATGAACGCATAAAGGTCAGGAGACAACCCGTCTCAAATCGCAAAGAAAAACAAATGAGACTCCTTCCCACCAATTTCCGCAGAGAAAAGAAGGCAAGTGAAGTATCAAAAGTGGCCTGAAACAAGTTGGAACAAGTTCGTTGCCGCTCACGCTGGATTCTCATCCGCCTTGTCAAGCCCGAAAAAGGCCGTGTCAAAGTCGCCGCCGGCATCCATCAGCTCAAAGGTGCTGTCGCGGTTGTTCATCAGGTCGTCAAAGGTATCGTCGCCCGAGCCGCCCAGGCTAAAGTCAAAGTCCATGCCGTCGGCCGCCCCGGACCCTGGGCCAAAGAAGTCCGTATTCACGGTGGTGGCGGCGCCTCCGTCCGCCTTCACCTCCTCCATCTTCATCTGCGGTTGGGGAGCCGCGCCGGGCGGATTGTTCGGGTCATTCGGCAGAAGGTGGTTGAGGTTCAAGAGATCGTCGCCACCACCATCGGCCGGTGCAAATGTGGTCATGTCAAATGATGGCTCCTTTGAAGCGTTGGGCTGCTGGCCGGGAGCCTCGCTGCCCGGTGGCGCCGCAAGCGTAAACTCCATGTCGGTAAAGTTCATTCCGGATGGCTCTGGCATTGCCGGCGGATTGGGAGCGCCAGAAGGTCCGGGATGCATCTCGACCATTGGTTTTTGATCAACGATGGGTGGCTGAGGGACGAGTCCTGGGCTGGCAGTTCCGTTCAACCCGTTCATGCCGCCGGGTGGTGGTGGTTGCTGCTTCTGCTGCGGTTGCTGGCCGTTGATCTCCTTGGCCGAAACCTCCATGGGCTCGGGCTCCGCAAGATCAATGCTCATGTTGGGGAAGGGCGCCATGGGCTTGACTTCAGTGTCCTCCGCCATGGGTTCGTCCTTGAAGACGGGCTCTGGCGGTGTGGCCATTTCGACTGTCGGTGGCCGCTTTGTCTGACCGTCTACCTGAAAAGTAGGCCGCAGCAAGATTTGCCTCTTCTTTTCCTGCAGCTCATTATAGTCTCTAAGCAAGGCCGACTTGGCGCTCAACTAGCCGAGTGAAAAAGAGAAGCGTAAGCGATGAGCAATCACGACTCGGTAAGAAAGGAAAAGGAGAAGGAATTGAGCGAATACAGGTCAGAGGCCAGAGGATTCACTTACAATTTCGGACTCGAGGTCGTTAAGCGTCATGTGGAAATGTTCAATGGTTTCTGGCAGCTTGGCCTGCGTCGGCCCATAGGCGTACGTCAGATTCCCCTGAGAGTCTCTGCGGGACGCCCGCAAAGCCTTGCCGGTTTGCACGAGCTTGACGGTGAGAGGGAGATTAGTTTGGCGACTGAGAGGACACGAGGAGAAGGAGAGATGAGAAACTGTGCGGTGAAAAGGGGGAAACAGGAGAAGGCGACAGGCCGGTCGTCAGACTCACCACGTCATTGATGATCGATTGCAGGGCGTCTAAAGGGCCTGAGATTGAAGGCGAGGTTGCCATTTCGCCGGCAGTGCGAGGGTGAGTGAAAAGTGAAGCGGGTGATTGAGAGAGCGGGAGCGAAAGCGACTGGCGCGGGCTGAAGATGCCTTGATATCGGCGACAGAAGCGAGTCGAGATGCAACACTCGGAGATGCGCGGGCCCAAACGCGGCCAGAGGGAGCGGCGGCGATTCGGGTTGGGATTGATGAGGAGTTCGGGGTTGGCTGCGGGATTCTCGTGGTTGGCGGCAATCTGTCAACAGGTGAAGATGGACAGAAGGGAGTAAGAGAGAACGGCAAAAGACAGCTGCAAGACGGGGCCCGAGGGCGGATGCGAACGGATTGCCTCTGCTTGTAAGAGAGAGGGTGAGATTTTGTTTCCCTTGGGGTTGAGCATTGGGAACATGAAGGGCTGGCAAAGTGACTGCGTACAAAAAGGTACGTACCTCCTAGGGGCGATGCTGCTGTGGCTGGTGCCGGAGCTGGTTGTGGCTGAAGAGAAGGTCGGGTCTGTCCGGGGCGGGTACTTGATACTTGTTGCAGGCCCAGTATCGGCAGCATTAGCGCTATTCGAGCGCCGTCCAGAGGGCATCCGGCGCTGAAACTTCGCTGAAGACACCCACCCAACGGCTCGGAAGACAACCGACGGCACGTAGCGTGTACTTGAGCCTCTCGCTGCCGATCCCGCAGCCCGCGATCTGTGGCTCAACTCGTGCGCAGAGTCTCCCCGCAAATGACGCTTATTAGAGATATTCCCGAGTGGCTGAACCTTGGCTGCAATTGAAGCAGAGGCAATGGAAGTCGAGTTCGAATTGTTGCAGCTTGACAAGTACACGTCCTCCGTTCTCTGCCTGTACTGCAACCCCAGAGGCAGAATACAGAGCACAACACACAGCCCGGTCATGTGCTACAAGGCCAACATCGAATGCCATAGAAGCCTCGCCCTACCAAACAAGTAAACAGGCCATGATTGCGCCCTGCTCGGCCGCTGGATTCGGTGTGGCGCTGAGCCAGAGGCAGCCTCGACAGCAGAGACTTGAGCATTGCCCGGCTGGCTGTTGAGCTCGAGACTTGATACGAGATACAGTGATTGACCGAAGGAATAGAAGAATCTGCATCAGGTTGATGCAAGGTTGACTCCACAACACGATATGGAGAGGTATATCGACTTGTTCGTCTGAAAGGGCATCTCCGAGCCGGCCATCTCAGCCTCGTCTGTGGCATCAGTTGTACCGGTTGACATCTTTGGCAAGGTGTTCTTGGTTGCACAACACAAGCCCAGCCTTGACAGGAGGCATTCAAAGGGTTGGGCAGAAAGATATACGTACGACTCCTCCACGACAGCCTTGTTCTTTTAATCATGTCTTGATAAAGTCCCCCCTGCACTGCCCTGTTGTCCTACCATGTCCAAACAGCTTCAACCAGCAGAACAGCTCTCAATGCTTGTATAATCGACGAGCCCCAGTTCAGCCGCGCCCCTCTCGGCAAAAAATTCTGCACCTTGCCTGTTGCAGGGTAGGCGCCCGCCATATCACGGCCGGCCTCCACTGACGCCAGCACAAACCTCTGCCTGGACACTCGATCCCGCTCAACCGCTGGCTGAGCTACCTCCAATACTAAGCAGCTCAAGCTTCAAGTTTCTGTCTCTTTTTTCCTCCTCCAGACAACGTCGCTGTGTGTGCTCAAACGTAGCGGAGCGGCTGGTTGCGATTTGTGGACTCGTTTCCTTTATCGTTTTCTTCTGCGGTTTTCTCTTCCTTTTCCATTGCCTCGTTTCTTCTTCTTCTCCTTGTCCCGCTTGTTCAGTTATCGTCTTGCCCGGATCCCCTGTCCTGTCCTGTCCTGGTCCTGATCCTGCTCATCCTGTCCCGCCTCAGCCTCCTCCAAGCTCCTCCTAGCAGCTCTCCTTCCACCCGTGGTCTCTCCCTACGCTCGCGCAGCGCTCGACTCGACCTCGTTTCAAGCATCCTTCGGCCTCTCGCTGGAAGCAGTTTCCGTTGGGTTTTTCGACAGTTTGCGAGCTCGTGATCGGAGCCTCTTTCGTTGCATATCTCCCCCCTAAAAAAATCACCCCTCCTCTCTACCGACTTCTCCTCACCTCTCCCCATCGCCACCGACGCCGCCGTCCTGCGCGCCCACCGCTCCTCAGCCCCCCTCGCCTGCTCGACTCGACTCATCGTTGCGAACAATGGCTGACGCTGGCGCCGTCCCGACCTCTGCGCAGCCTGGCGCCTCTGCCGCCCAAAACGGCCAGGGCAACCCAACTCACCTCCCCCCGCCCCCCCTCCACATCCCGCAGAACACGAACCCAATCCCGACGGCCATCACCTCTCCGCGATCCGGCGTGGACGCTGGCGGCATCCTGTCCCCGACCACCGGCTTCCGACGAGCTGCGCCTGAGCCCAACAAGCGGGCCCTCTATGTTGGCGGGTTGGATCAGCGGGTCACCGAGGACGTGCTGCGTCAGATCTTTGAGACCACTGGCCATGTCCAGAACGTCAAGATTATTCCCGACAAGAACGTATGAAATCATCTTGATTCCCTTCCCACGTGCTGGGTTTTATGGCTTCGCTAACGGCTGTCTTGTGCAATACAGGCCAAGGGCTACAACTATGGCTTCGTCGAGTACGACGACCCCGGTGCGGCGGAGAGGGCCATGCAGACGCTCAACGGCCGGAGGGTTCACCAATCCGTATGTCTCCAGCTCTTACATGCTTTACACAGCTTCGGCGTTTGCCCTTTGTCCAACCGACTGCCACTGACACTCCGATTTGCCAACGACGTAGGAAATTCGAGTCAACTGGGCCTATCAGTCCAACACGACGAGCAAGGAGGATACGTCAAACCACTTCCACATCTTCGTTGGCGACCTGTCAAACGAAGTCAACGATGACATCCTGATGCAGGCCTTTTCTGCCTTTGGCTCCGTCTCGGAAGCTCGCGTCATGTGGGACATGAAGACGGGCAGATCTCGAGGCTATGGCTTCGTCGCCTTCCGCGACCGGCCCGACGCCGAAAAGGCTTTGAGCTCCATGGATGGCGAGTGGCTCGGATCGCGGGCCATTCGCTGCAACTGGGCCAACCAAAAGGGCCAGCCGTCAATGGCTCAGCAGCAGGCGATGCAAGCCATGGGCATGACGCCCACCACCCCCTTTGGTCACCACCAGTTCCCTGCGCACGGCGTCGCTAGCTACGAAATGATCCTCGCGCAGACCCCCAACTGGCAGACGACGTGCTACGTGGGGAACCTCACTCCCTACACGACTCCCAACGACGTCGTGCCCCTGTTCCAGAACTTTGGCTTTGTGATGGAGTCGCGCTTCCAGGCGGACCGCGGCTTTGCCTTTATCAAGATGGACTCGCACGAGAATGCAGCCATGGCCATCTGCCAGATGAACGGATACAATGTCAATGGCCGACCCTTGAAGTGCAGCGTAAGTTGTGGATCAGAACCCATCATTGGCAGCTGGGTGTTTTTTGCTAACAAGCACGCAGTGGGGAAAGGACAAGGCTCCCAACTCCGGATCGTTTGACCCTCAGCAGCCGTACAGCCCCCAGACCTCCCAGGCCCCGGGCTTCCCTGGTACTCCCACGTACTATCCGCAGTATGGAGGTAAGTAGCTCAATGAGGACCCTCTGGCTGCAAATGGCGGCTGACCGTGACATCTTTGCTGTAGCGCAATACAACGGACAACAGGGCAACTTTGGCGGGCCGCAAGCTGGCTCGCCCGCAGGATACAGCGGCTCCCCCATGGGATATGGTGGCCCTCAGAGCGCCGGAGGATACGGTCGCGGCCACCAGGGTCCCAACGCCCAATGGAATCAGAACCAAGGACAAAACTTCAACAACGGTTTCGGCGGCTATCAATCGTAGTCATCGGGTATGAAGCGCGTATGGATCGCAAGCTGTAAGAGTGGAGGGATGAGAAAGAAGAATTTTCAAGGTCAGGGGGGGGGGGGAGACTCGGGTTCTTCCCCCCCCCCTGCCATTTTGACGTATTTTTACTCCCTTCCTTGTCTGCCCGTTTCTGTTGAGTCTTTCTAAACTGTCACCTCTGTCACCCCCCTCCTTTCTTTCTTTATCTACTGCCATTGTCACCATATGGGCTTTTGTCGTTTGTACCAGCCGTCCTTTTCTTTTCCAGTGTGATTTCCAAAGGTTGTTTCTTCCAGGGGCTGTGCTTCCTCTCCTTGCTCTCCTTTGCCGTGTAACTTTCTCTATTTCTGCACGAGGGAAACGAAAAGTTTTTGGAATGCTGTTTGATTTCATATTCTTTTCCTTTGACGAGCGCCGCCGCTGGGATACCACATGGGAGCATTTGGAGCCGATGATTTCTCTCTCTCTATGTCCGTCTGTCTCTTATTTCTCAACCCCTTTTCACATGCATTGTTTTTTGCCTTGTTCCTTGTATGATGATGATTACGAATTCCTACGAATTCCTACTTGTACTTTCTGTCTTGCGCGAGCTGAAGTACGAGCGCAGCATCACCATATGGTGTCAGAACACAAGGGGTTGGATAACTCGAGAAGAGCATTTGCAGCCATGATTTTGTTACTACTTGAGTCTTGTCCAGCGGTTGTTTGAGGGTTTTCGGTGGTCCGGCGAAGTCCGAAAGCCTTTCATCTAGTGTAAAAAAGACGAAGCAGAGGTTGGAGAGCGCATCGATACTTGTCCTCTAATCACCTGCTCATTATGCCTACATACCTGGTAGAGGGATTGATTGATGATGCATAAATGGACTTTGCATGTGAAAGGTCTCCGTCGCCTTTGATTGGGCTCCGGCGATACCGCAAGGCGACTTGGAAACTTGTTGATATCGGCTTTTTTGGTTCGTTTGGCTCGTACAAGAGGCAAAGATTCGAGCTGTAACGTGAGATGACGTGCGTGGTGTTGAAGACTGGAGCTTGTCAGTGGCGACTCGAGCTGCACATTCATACGTGTTGATGCATGAGAGGATTTGCGCGGGAGGGCCAAAGAATGCACATCAGTTTTTGATGTCATTGCTGCCCATGGAATGATGCACTGGGTCCTGAAATCATCGACAGTTATTATCTAAGATGATGTTACGTGACCAACCTCGGTCATCTTAGTACATGTATTCAATTCCTTAGGCACTTGTCTGTGTTATGGACACCGTTGAGCTTTTGCGGGCTGGCGATGCTTTGTGTGTAGGTGCTGTGGCGCTTCAAAGGCAATTGGCGATGTTGGTGGCTTGTTGGCACCGAGAGACGAATTGGGAGGATGCGGGCTTTTGGTTGGACATGGGATGGCCGCTTTGTTGGTGTTTAGGGCTGTTGACGAATGAATGCCCTTTGAAGGGAAAAGCTGGGACGGGTATCTAATGGCTGAGGCTGACGATATTTCCAAGATGATGAATATCATGATGCATTCTGGATGACAGATGATTCATTGGATCGGGTGAGGGGGAGGTCTACAACTCGGCGTGCCTCTGATAACAGTTTTCTCCCGTATCTACCCATAATAGCAATATGATGATGATTACAGTGTATCGAGTCTGCTACTACCTGTCAACAGCGTCTCCTGATGCAGTTCTTTGTCTGCAAGTTGTATTCCCCCCGTTCACTCATCGTGTATTAGTATTACAAACTCGGCTGGCCGAAGCCGTCCGGGCAGTTCCCATTATCCCAGCGGCTAGTACCGACGCGGCCTAGAGAACAGCGACAGCCAGCAGCCACGCAACATTGAAAGGCCTCAACCCCACTGGCATCGATCGCTGACGGCACAGCACAGGCCAGCCCAGGCCTTGAACGGCCACTACCAGACCTTAGGTCACCTTAAGCGCCCTGTACGACTGCCCCCCCAAAAGCCGTTGAGCCGACCTGATGTATTGATGTATTGCCGCAGGAATTGCACAGCGGCCTGGGTGTACAGTCCGCCTCGATTCGGGAGATGCATTTGTTGAGAGATGAAAAGGTAGTGATGTGAAGATTGTAGAGCCGATACTGGGCAAGGTAGATATCAGATAGCTGCAGATTACGGATTGACTGGATGAGACCCCGTCTGATATTGGATGGTCATGGTACACCCCAAGGTCCAGCCGCTTACGGCCTCTAGCTGCCACTGCTGCTGCTGTTGCTCTTCACGCCTGCTAGAGTAAGGTATCCGATGGGACTGGACAGCTTACTACTACTGCCACTACCACCAACTGTTAGCACCGCTCCCAGCATTCTCCAGCCCGACGCTTCCCCATCGTCTCCCCTCCGTCAACCAAAGCGCTTCCACCCCCCGGAACTTGGGCCTCCACCCAAGCGCCCAATTGCTGCATCTCTGCTGATCAAAGCCGCAAATCAGGGCATCGCTGCAGCAGAGCAAAGCAGGTCGAACGCAGCCCAGCAGCAAAAGCCCGCACGCAAAGCAGGGCAGAGAGGCAAACGCGCGGCGACGCAATCGGAGGCGCTGACCAACGAAGCAAGGCATCGGCGGAGCAGGCAGATAATAGCGCTTCCAGCTGTTTGAGTCGTCGAGGCGCTGCTGCGTGGCCCTGGTCTGGTCGGCCGCTGCTTGGGACCGCTGACGCCCCTCCTCCCGTTCCAGTTCCAGTCTCCAGTCCAGTCCCGTCCCGTCCAAGTCGTCCGTCGAGTTCGAGCTCCAAGATTCGAGCCGAGCGTCTTGCAGCCCGCCATGGACAAGCCGTCGTGGTACCCCGACCCTCGACACTCGACCAGCGGCCAGCCCTCATCGCGAGACTATCCCTCACCTCTGCCCTCCTCCTCCGCCGCCTCGCTCTCCGGCCTGGCCTCTTCGTCTGCGTCTGCCCCTGCGCCTGCGTCCAACCCTGCCGCCGCGCCGCCCGCTGCCGCTGCCGCTGCCTCGTCGTCGTCGCCCTACGGCAGCAGCAACAACATCGCCGGCGCCCACCACCATTCCAGCTCCAACCTCAACAACAACAACAGCAGCTCCGGCAGCAACGTCAACAGCTCCGGCCCTTCCCACGGCAGCAGCAGCTACGACCGCCCCTATCAGCACCACACGCTGCCGCACCAGCTGCACTACCAGCTGCCGCATCAGCACCAGCCTCAGCATCCGCAGCAGCTCCAGAGCCATAGCCAGAGCCAGCTCCACGCTCACCAGGCTCACCAGCAGCTCGGCGCCCACCACGGCTCCTCGTCCAGCACCAGCCTCAGCCTCAACCCGGCCACCTCGCCCCTCGCGACCGCTCCCGTGCGCGACACCAGCGGCGACGTCGCCATGCACGACGCCCACGATGCCCACGCCGGCATCAAGTACCCCATGAGGCCGCACCACCAGGCCCATCTGTCGGGCACCCGCTCGTCGGGCCTGTACTCGCCCGGGGACCAGCCGCAGCACCAGCTCCAGCACCAGCTGCCGCCTCAGCAGCAGCAGCAGCAGCAACACCAGCAGCAGCCGTCGTCCGCCGCCCAGCGATACTCGCCCATGGACACGCTGTCGCCCACGTCGCCCTACGCAAAGGCCTACACCAGCTCGCCCTCGCAGCAGACGCCGCCCAACGCCGAGTACTCGAGCCCGTACTTTGTCGGCCGCCAGCCCCAGCTGCCCCCCATCGCCACGTACTCCCACGACGGCTACCCCTCGTCTGCCGTCGCCACGCTCGACGGCTACAGCGACTCCAAGGCCCCCCGCCGCCAGAATCCCCCAATGATGAAGACGGTGCCCGAGTTCAAGAAGATCAAGTCGCCCAGCGAGCTGCAGCCCAAGAACACGAGGCAGCCGCGCTTTAGGCGCGCAAATCCAGAGGGTGGCTTCATAAGTGTTTGTCCCCCCTCGATTCTTCCTTTCCCCTCTCGTTCGACCTCGTTCAGCTCAGCATGCTAACTCGTCTCGCTTGCCCGCCCCGGCCACTAGCCCCTCCAAGCTCTGACGCTGCATCTGCCAGCCACGTATCGCATCTGCAACCCGAGCTTCAAGTACGAGTCGTCGCGCAATCCTCGCCGAGTCCTGACCAAGCCCAGCAAGGGCACCAAGAACGATGGCTACGACAACGAAGACAGCGATTACATTCTCTACGTCAACGATATTTTGGGCTCTGAGGAAGCCGGCCACAAGTGCGTCACACCTTTGCTCTTTGTCTTTTGGGAGATTGGTTTTTGGTCATTGTGGCATCTCTTCTGACTCGTTTATTGTAGGAACCGCTACCTCATCCTCGACGTGCTGGGACAGGGAACGTTTGGTCAAGTCGTCAAATGCCAGAATCTCAAGACGCAGGAGGTCGTGGCCGTCAAGGTCATTAAAAACCGCACGGCCTACTTCAATCAGAGTATGATGGAGGTATCCGTGCTTGACTTGGTATGCTGTCTCTTCCCCGTTACTCCTCGGTTGCTGCTCGCGCTGACTTGACATGAAGCTCAACACGAAGCTCGACAAAAACGACGACCACCACCTTCTCCGACTGAAAGACACCTTTATCCATCGACAGCATCTTTGTCTCGTCTTCGAACTGCTCAGCGTCAATCTGTACGAGCTGATCAAGCAGAACCAATTCCGCGGCCTCAGCACCACCCTGGTCCGCGTCTTTGCCCAGCAGCTTCTCAATGGCCTGGCCCTCCTCAACAAAGCTCGCCTGATCCACTGCGATTTGAAGCCGGAAAACATTCTGCTCAAGAACCTCGAGAGTCCAATCATCAAGATTATCGATTTCGGTTCGGCATGCGACGAGCGACAGACGGTCTACACCTACATCCAGTCCCGGTTCTATCGATCCCCCGAGGTCTTGCTGGGCTTGCCTTACTCATCCGCCATCGACATGTGGTCGCTGGGCTGCATCGTGGTCGAGCTGTTCCTGGGACTGCCGCTCTTCCCCGGATCGTCAGAGTACAACCAGATTGCTAGAATCGTCGAGATGCTCGGCAACCCCCCCAACTGGATGATTGACATGGGCAAGCAGGGCCTCGAGTTCTTCGAGAGGAGGCAGGACGAGTTTGGCAGGCGGACATATCACTTGAAGAGCATGGAGCAGTATTCGCGGGAACACAACACCAAGGAGCAGCCCAGCAAGAAGTATTTCCAGGCCAACACGCTGCCCGAGATCATCAAGTCGTATCCGATGCCGCGGAAGAATATGAAGCAGAGTGAAATCGATCGAGGTGAGTCTTATCGCCTCTACCAAGAGACAGACACCAGGCTTCCTGATGAAAACCCATGGACAATCTAACCTGACTTGAACAGAGATGAACAATCGCATTGCCTTTATCGACTTCGTGAGAGGCTTGCTTAACATCAACCCTCTCGAGCGCTGGTCTCCCCAGCAAGCAAAGCTTCATCCCTTCATCACGCAGCAAAAGTTCCAGGGTCCCTTTGTTCCGCCAATGAACCTCAAGTCGAGCTCCCTCAACCGATCACCGGCTCCCGGCACGCAGCAGCAACAGCAGGCCGAGGCACTGAGCAAACAACGGGCCGCGCAGGCGCAAGCGCAGGCTGCACAAGCACAGGCCCAGGCACAAGCCCAAGCCCAAGCCCAAGCTCAGGCACAAGCACAAGCACAGGCTCAAGCTCAGGCGCAGGCGCAGGCGCAAGCGCAATACGGATCGCCCATGGGCGGAGGCCAGTACCAATCTTCCAGCCATGTGCCGGCCCCTCTGTACTCCAACAGCGCCGTCTACAATCCCGCCTCTGCTCATGGGAACGTGCAGCCCCAGTACGGGCCGCCCCAGTCCAGCCAGTACGGTCAGATGGCTATGTCGCAGCAGCCTCAGCAGCTCCCATCGTCACAATACTCCAATTCTTCGCAGCCCAACATGTACCAGCAAGGCGGCATGAGGACCAACAGGCAGCGGGCTTCGACCATGGAGCAGCAGCAAAGCGGTATCCCTCCGGCCCTGCAGCGAGTCGCCAGCCACCTAGACCCGAGCCAGCCGATTCGACTGCAGCCCAGCCCAGCATACTATCCACCAACCGGCGAGGGATTGGACAATGCGGCTAGCCGCGGTGCTGGAAGGCGAGGTAGCCGTCAACAGGGAGCCCGCAGCAACCGGGATTTTATTCGCAACCTAGAAGAGCGGACTCTGGAAGAAGGCTTCATGGGCAACCAGAATCCGTGGCATTGAGGTGGCGCTTCCTCTATCCGCTCGAAGCCAAAGATTTGTCCCTGATTATGATCATTTGTTGATCACCTAGATATTTGCCGCCAGTTATGGTCCCGGCGCACGATGGCCCCTACGTCTCCGCTGTCAGAGCATGGACATGGTCATTCCTGGATTCCGCGCTTCTCGACCACACCGATGATTTGGAGAAGGCTTGAGGGACCTTTCCCCCTCGTCACCGAATCGTCGCTGCGATGACAGGAATGTTTCCGACGCTCTTTGACTCCGAAGAGCTCCATTGTCTCCGGTCCGAGCCGCAACTGGGCGGGGCCTCGTGACAAACTTGGGAAATGGCATACGAAGATGGGGGGAGGCGTGTTGCCGCTTGCATACAAGTAGAGGGAGCGCCTCATCGTAACGATGGCAGCCCGTAGTCTGCATGTTCGTGAACGGGCATTGTTGGAGGCAGTTGAGCTCTTTCTTTGTTTGGCTGTGGGATGAATTCGTCCTACTCATGTACGACTACTTAACTGCCTCGAAATTGTTTTTTTTTTCTATTACTCGTTGGTTTCTTGTATGTATCTGCAATCGAGATTGGGCCCATGATGAGCTTTGCAGACCTTTCTACCTTTTCTTTCCTTTTTTCTCTTGTTCAAGAAAGGGGGGTCCAAGGGGGGTTTTTCAAGGATAGGATGGATGGAGATTTGCATTTTGCATTGTGTTGTCTCTATGGGGGAGATGGATAAAGAACGAGACGAATAAAGGAGAGAAGGAGAAGGGCGAAAAGGCGGATTGACAGACGGATGCGATGAGAGAAGTAGGAAGAGATTGCAATTGAATGAATAAGGATGATGTGGGATTCCCTCCTGGTTGCTTAATGTGTGTTGTTGTTCTTCGACTATATACGTCTGCCTGAGCTGCCCTTTGTGGAGGTTGCTCAGTCGGTTAACTTTGACTCGAGTCGGACGACGTGGGTAGTAGGTATGAGTTGAAAAGAGATGCCTTCTGTGCTACCATGCCTTGAATAACAGGACTAAAGTAGACTCGATGGTCGTCAACAGGGGGGGTCCCTTTGAGAAGAGAATGTCCAGGTGTGAGGGCTACTACTTGTAGTGTTTCTACCTATCCCAAGGGTATTGTGATGTTGATTATCGTCGATACTGGTGGTTAAGTAAAAACTTCCAAGGGCCGTGGGACTTGTTGATCATTGCTTTACTCTTCGAAAGATGGTAGGTTGAAAGTCTAATCTCTGGGATCTCTATCTCTGGCTTTCATTGTTTTCATTTGTCTATACGAAATAGCACCGGCTACCTTGCCTGAATGGTAGCGAGCAATGAGTGGATAGGAGAACTGTCAAATCCTGGCTTTTTGCAAAGATTGATTTCTTTGGTGCAGCTTGTGAATGGTGAACCATTTCGTGTCCTGGTACCTTGTTGCAAGGAAAAGAGAAAAGCAAGACGAAGTTTGAAGCACGCTCGATTAAGGCACCGTAATCCTCACCCTATCCCAGAACCGTGCCCTGAAACCAAAACATACAAATACATCAAACGAAGATCTCAATAAGGTTTCCTCAAAGAAAAGGAAATCAATAGAGATGAAGTTCTGCCTCTAAAGCTTGCATAGGAAAACATTCAGTATGGTATATAATCTCCCCTGCCCCTCACGTCTCTCGACCACGAGCGCGAACGCGAATTCGAACGCCTCTAGCGTCCGTTATTCGAGTGCTGCCCCCTCTGGAATCCGCGGCCGCGCCTGTGTCCGGAGTCGTTGTTGTTGTTGTTGGCGTTGTAGTTTAGCCTGTTGTTGCTGCTGTTGCGCGAGGCGGGCATGTTGTCCGTGGCCATGAGGTCGTTTTCGGGGAAGCCCATGGAGCCGTCGACGACCTGGGCGCGGGTGGATGATGGTTGGCGGCCGGAGGAGGAGGAGTCGCGGGGAGGCTTGTAGCCGCCTGGCTTGGGGTAGACTTTGAGGATTCTGCCGTCGGCCTTGGGAAGAGTTAACGACATGGAGACATTGACAAAGGCACAGAGTAGAAGAGGGAGCCTTACCGTCTTGTTGTTGAACATTTCAATCACCCGCTCGCCGCCCTCTCTCGACGCAAAGACCATCTCCACAATCATAAACGGATGCGTCTTGACCACCTCGCAGCTGAGCATCTCGCCCCCGACCGGCGTCATCGCGCTCTCCACGTCCGCGGCCGTCGTCCCAGGCGCAAAGTTCTGCGCCATGACGGCAAAGGGGCCGGCCAGCCCGCGGATCGAGATGCCCGCGTCGGGTATCCGCAGGGTGCTCTTCTGCGGGACGACGTTGACCTGCTGCCTGACGGAGGGGTCCGTGTCCATGCGGTCGACGGCGGCGCTCAGCCTGGCGAACTTCTTCTTGGAGGACGCTGCTGCTGTGGGTGCCTTGCGGGGAGCGGCGCCGGGGAGGGTGATGCGGGAGCTGAGGGGGAGGTTGGAGTTGACGGAGGTGTGGAGGTCGTGCGTCCATTCGCCGTTGACGTCGCCGGTGAGGTCGTTTGCCCGACGGCGCAGGGCCGAGGGTGTGGCTTTGCTCTGGGGCTGGCTCTGGTTTTTTTCCCACCGTCAAGGGTTAGCACTGCCGTGTCATGTCGTCATCGTCGTCGTCGTACTCGAGCAGATCATCTGCGAACCTTCTTGACGCCTACTCGGCTGGCGAGCGATCCTCCGGGCTGGACGGCCTTGGGGCCTGCGGGCGCGCTCTGGCGGCGGTTCTTGGAGAAGATCTCATTGGCGAGGGCTTCAGCGCGCTTGCGCTCGCGGGCTGCGGGCCGTTAGCATTGGTCGTGTGTCGACAAGAGGGAGCGCGAGGGTGCGGGCGGGAGAATGGCAAACGCGCGAACGGCTCGAGGTGCGTACCGGTATGGATGATGCGCTCGAATTCTGTGGCAACGGGCGCCATGATTTGGTGTTTTGTTTGGGAGGTTGGTCGGTGGAAAGATGAGTGTATCGAGGGAATTGCTGCAAAGAAGGAGGAGGAGAAAAGGAGGGATAGAATGGGAGGAGCACGGAAGAGAGAGAGGATGCAGATGGTTTGGCCTTTTGTTGGTCGCGTCTTTTGCCGGAAGGTTTGATGCTGAAGGAGAACTGAGATGAAGGCAAGGCCTATGATTGGCTGGTGGCGGCTGAGAAGAGGCTGACGGGGGCGGCAGAGCTAGCCTGAGAATGGCTTAGCGTATCTTGTGGCGGGATATCCCTGTCTAGTGCGTGGCCGATAAGATAAGAAGCGCTCACTTTTGCTTTTTTTGGGAGCATCCAAGACAATTTTCGTGATGGCGCAGACAAAGGCTGTATGTCCACCATGACTGAGGCATCGTTCTCTGCGCAGTTGTCAAGCTGAATTCTTTTCCTCTTTGCTCTCCTTTAGATTCTTGACACTTCTCAGACCTCTTCATCTGCTGCTTCATCACCGCCCGCCACAATGTCGGGCATGGTCAACTGCGCTGCTTGTCTGCGGCGGGCCGTCCAAGCCTCGTCTCGCAGCAGGCCCCTCGCCGACGCTGCAGGCATCTGGACAAGTCTCCCACAGACGGGCAGACGCTATGCCTCAGTGGCAGCTCCAAGCACCGAGCGGACCGATGCGCCTCGGACTCTGACTCTGGAGCCCCTCGACCCGGCTGTCTCCCAAAAGAAGGACTTTGAGCGGCTGCAGCGCATCGTCAAGAAGCACCTGCAGCACATGGACGACCCCTGGAAGATTGCCCAGTACGTGGAAGATGCCCTCGCCAAGGACAGGTTCGACGAGGCCTTGCTCCTCACCAAGACGGCGGGCAAGGATCGCCAGGTCGTCGTTGCCTGGAACCACCTGATCAACTACCTGCTGGGCAAGCAGCAGCTGAAGAACGCCATCAAGCTCTACAACGATGTCAGTCACCTCAAAAAAGCCCCCGAAGTCCTATAATGTGCTAACACTCCTCCAGATGAAAAAACGAGGGCAGTTGCCCAATGTCCAGACCTTCACCATCATCTTCCGCGGCTGCGCTCAGTCGCAACACCCCAAGCTTGCCGTTGCCGAGGCCGTCAAGCACTACAACATCCTCCTCAGCGACAAGCGTCTGCAGCCAAACTCGATTCACATGAACGCCGTCCTCAACGTTTGCGCAAGAGCCGGCGACCTCGACTCCATGTTTCTCATAGCCGAGACAGCGAACGACACCACCCGCGCCCCCACGTCCTATACGTATACGACCATCTTGAATGCCTTGCGGTACCAGGCCATCCGAGACATGAAAGACGTGACGCCGGAGCAGGAAGCCGCAAATGCGCGCAAGGCTGTGGATCGGGCAAAGAGTATCTGGACTGAAGTCATTGAGAAATGGAGAAAAGCGCAGTTGGTCATTGATGAAGAGCTGGTGTGCGCCATGGGTCGCGTGCTCCTCATCGCCCCTGACCGGGAAGAGAAGAGGGAGGTGCTCGACTTGCTCTACCAAACCATGAGCATCCCCAACTTGGCCAAGGATCCTGGCACCGATGCGTTCCAAGACGCTCAGATGGAAAAGGTTGCCGTTACCGGTGTGGCCAAGAGGGTGCCCTCGAGCAGAGCTGTCTATGCTGTGCCTGGCCGGAATACACTGGCCTTGATCCTCACGACCCTTGCCTCGTCGAGGCTAACGACGTCTGGCATCAAGTACTGGAACCTCCTGGTCCGCCACTACGGCATCGTGCCGGATAATGACAACTGGCTTCGCATGTTTGGCATGCTCAAGGTCGCCAAGGCGAGCGGCCACGCTTCCTCCATCCTGAGCCTCATGCCCGACGAGTACATCGATGGCAAACACTACCGCATCGCCATGGAGACTTGCGTCCGCGACAACATCAACACCAATGCCCTCGACAACGCAAAAAGAGTGCTCGATTCCATGCTTACACGCCTACCTGTTCCCGACATACACACTCTTCGACTGTATCTGCGTGTTGCGCTAGTCAGCCACTACCAGTTTCGCGAGAGAATGAAGAATGGAGACGCAGAGGGCGCCAAGCGTGACTATGGCCTGCAAATCACAACCGCCCTGGCCCATCTTTGGGAGCCTTACAAGAAGGTCCACTATCACTTCTTCAAGGAGAGTGCCAAGGGCAGCAAACTCAGTCCCGGCGAGCTCTACAACAGCCAGCGCGAGGTCATTGCCTTGGCTCGTCACATGTTTAGCGCTTTCAACAAGGTCATCAACGAGAAGATGCTGCCTGAGGATGACGCAAAGGAGCTCCGCGTGGTTGGCGCCAAGATCAACCGCGAGATTCAAAAGTTTTACTCGGATCGTGAGGAGCGGGAGCCCAACCTGCGCAAGTCTGGTCTAGGCGTCACAGAGGAGGCGCAAGAGGAGGGGAGTGAGGAGAACTCGTTCGATGCTGGGTTCAGACCGGGCGGCGACTTTGTCTGGAATACCGCGAGACAAGCCGAAGAGGTTGACGATAGACAACGGTCTAGGGGGTCGTGGGACGCCAGAGACGGTGATGAAAGACGACCTAGGAGGTCTTGGAGTGATAAAGAGGGGGGTGAAAGACGACCCAGGAGGTCGTGGGGTGACAAAGAGGGGAATGATAGACAACCCCGGAGGTCATGGGGTGCTAACGACGGTAGTGAAAGACAACCTAGGAGGTCTTGGGGTGCCAAAGACGGTGAAGAACGCGAACCAAGAAGGCAATGGAGCGCCAGCAAGTGGTAGAACGGCCTTGAATCAACCAACCTGAATATGTAAGACAAATACGATTCATGAGTGTATGATAGAGATAGACGGAGACTCGGTGTACTCTTGGATATAGACCGCTGGCTTGGTGTTGGCAAGGTGTCTTTGGGCCCTTTATAGAATGGCATGAATCCCTTCTTTACAAAAGTAATTTCAACCTGCTCTCCTTGCCAGTGGCTTGGAAGCACAGAGAGGCTCATGGAGCATCTATACCCAGGTGGTCGAGTATGGCCTCTGTAACTCCATATCGTTGCCTAAGTGCATAAGCAGAGGCCACTCAAAGAGCTGCCCCACGTTGCAATTAAGGTCCTGATTTAGCGCGTCAAGCAACAACGCGACTCACGCGTAAAGACGCGCTTCTTGCAGGTGTACAGCTGATAGCAGTGCCTGGATGAGGTACCTTCTGGTGGCTGCCGGATAGGGCGCACGTCGAGGTACCTCTTGTGTAGATCCTCTAACAGCTGGTGACCTCCAACAAGCCCAATTCTACAACACACACACACACAGAGCCTCCTCTACCCATCACTTTTCCACCACAACAAGCAAATCGCCTTTGCCTGATGCCCACGACTTGGCTTTAGCGATCTTTTCCCTCTTCGACCATTTTCATGATACCCCAAAGAAGATAAAAAGCAGCAGCCCACCTCCGCCATGCCCAAAGTCGACCGCAGGGCAAAGCTCGCCGAGCTCAAGGCCCTCCGCCAGGCGGGCAAGAAGGCCTTTGAGAGCTACCAGGTCGAAGACGTCGCGAACCTCTACGATGAGGTGGACGAGGCCGGATACAAGGAGATTGTGCGGGACCGCCTGAACCAGGACGACTTTGTGGTGGACGACAATGGCGAGGGCTATGCCGACGACGGACGGGAGGATTGGGATCGAGTGAGGCGGTACGAATCGGACAGTGAGGGCGAAGATGAGCTGCCGACGCGGGGGAGGCCGAGCAAAGCGGGTGAGTCTGTGGGATGGACGCATAGCCGTTCGGCTGCACGGCTGTCGTCGTCTTCTGGACTTTTTCCATGGTTGGGATTGGCACTGACTGTCACGCAGCGAAGAAGAGCCGTGACGAAGAGCAGGCCAAGCGAGACGCCAACGATCGGAGCATCAGCGAATACTTTACCAAGGGCGCCGGTAAAGCCCAGTCCAAACCCAAGGTAATGGCGCCGTATGCGATACCTGATATAACCTCCCAGACGGCCTAACAGAGCGGCAGGTGGTCAAGACAAAGGCCGACGACGACTTCCTGGCCGACCTTCTCGGAGAGGTCGACGCCAACATCCCAGCGCCAGCCCCGAGGGCACCCAAAGCCGACCGGTCGGGCGGCGAGCGAAGAAAAGCTAGAGACTTGTCTCCTGCGCCGGAGCCCAGCTACAAGAAGCAGAAGCGGGTTGACATACGGTTGCCATCGCCCGATCCCGCCCCTCCTACTTTCGACGACGATGACGACGGTCTTGCGCCGCTGATCGATGACGAGCCCATGGGTACGGCCGAGTTTCCCATGAGCGACCCGGCACCCTCCTCCCCCGCTGCCAAAGTCGCCCAACGCAAGGCCCAGATCAAACAAGAGCCGCAAAGTGACGACGATGACGATATGATGGAGGTCGCTCATGCCGGCGCTGTCAAGGTCGCCAGCGTCAACCTGGCAGCTTCCCGGCCGGCGAGGAAAATTATCAAACAAGAGCCGGCAGTGACTTCATCCCCTATCAAGGCTCCAGACACCTCAGTGGATGCGTCCTCTTGGAATGAGCTCTCAGAAAAGCTCAACGTGGTCAGCAGCTCCATGTCTGAGCCCAAAGGAATCGGCAAGATAGACCACAAGGACGCCATTGAGCCGGATGGGTCTCTCAACTTCTTCTGGACCGACTATACGGAGATCAATGGCAGCCTCTGTCTTTTTGGCAAGGTGCTGAACAAGAAGACACAATCATACGTCAGCTGCTTTGTCAAGATCGACAACATCTTGCGAAAGCTCTACTTTTTGCCTCGCCAGCAGCGTCTCCGAGATGGCGAAGAAACGGGAGATGAAGTCGACATGACTGACGTCTACAACGAGGTGGATGAGCTCATGACCAGGATGAACGTGGGCATGTACAAGATCAAAAAGTGCCAGCGGAAATACGCCTTTGAGCTGCCAGACATTCCCAAGGAAGCAGACTACATGAAGCTTCTTTACCCTTACACAAGTATGTGAAGCCAAAAATACGATACCTGACAGCCTACTG